CTGTGACACTCGGTGCAGCTGTGACACTCAGTGCAGCCGTGACACTCAGTGCAGCTGTGACACTCAGTGCAGCTGTGACACTCAGTGCAGCTGTGACACTCAGTGCAGCTGTGACACTCGGTGCAGCAAGCAGTGACACTTTCCAGGGAGTTTTTCCTGGGACAATCTTTCTGCATAAGGCCATTTCTTTAGGGTCTCTGAAGGCTACCCTGCCTGCTGGGAGCTGAGAGGCTGGCTATCCCCTGTGAAGATGCCAGAGTCTCACAGCCAAGTGGAGCTTTCTCTATGAGGATCCACAGCTCTGAAAGCCCAGGCTTTAGACCACGGAACCTGCTCAGAGATGATATAGCCAGGCCCCAGGGCAGAAGTGGGTGAGGGATGCTTCCTCCGTGGGTCACAGTGTGATACCGATGATGGGTGTAGCAGCTCGGAGGGCAGGTGACGCATTCACACGTCACAGCGTTAGAATTAAGCGCAGTGAACTTCCTCCTGGGAATGTGGCTTCTATTTCCTTCCATCCTGCCTCTGTGGGTGACCTTGGTAGGAAGGCGGTTGTATTAATAGCTTACATTAAGGTAAATGACCTTAGTCGACAGCCTTCAGATCTGTGGAGCAGATGGCTATTGACAATAAATTCACTGATGTCAGAGATCGCCACCAGGCAAGCAGGCCAGGTCAGCTGGGCCTGTTGAAGGCTGAGCTGAAGAAAGAGGTCAGGGAGGATGTGGCAAGTGGGCTTTTCCCAGGGAGGAGGAACCTGGCTTATTCACAGGGCGGGTCCCTGTACTCTCAACCCAGCAGGTCTCACCTGAGTTCCTTTCCGGGCTCTCAACTGAGTTGACGCTGAGTCTCAGGCCTCTGTCCTCCATCTTTTTTTTAGGGGGGGTCCCTCACTTCCTCTTTTGAGGAAGCTACAGCCTGGGTGCTCCATTCCTAGAGACTGCCCCCCCCACCAGAGCCAGGGAAAACTGGAAGAGACGCCTGTTAGAGGAGGTACAAGACCAGGAAGCCAAGGCTGGAGGAGGGAACTACCAGCAATGAGTGGCGAGCTGGCTGGACTCTGACCTGCTGGGCTGGAACGGGACAGAGGGCCCAGGTAATTCTACTTTGTTTAGTGTGAGAACATGATAGATAGCTAACATGTAGCTAGTATGTGTCTCCCCTCCCCTCTGTGTGTGTGTGCGTGTGTGCATGTGTGTGTGCATCTGTGGGTACATACTTGTATGTATACATATGGAAGTCGGAGTTCAATACTGGGTCTTTGTCAATCATGTTTTACCTATTTTATGAGACAGGGTCTCTCAGTGGATGAGTCATGGATTTGGTAAGGCTGGCTAGACAGTGGGATCCAGGGATTCGCCTGCCTCTGCCTCCCAGTCTTGGAATTACAGACTTGTCCAGCCAGACTCACGCTCAGCTGTTTTCTGCATGGCTGCTGGAGTTTCAGACCCGTATCATTGGTCTCGTATGGCAAACACTTTAGCCACTGAGCTGTCCCCCAGTTTCAACTGTTTCTGTTAGAGTGTGATGTTTAGAAACCATCTCCAGCGCTGGGCGATGGTGGCGCACGCCTTTAATCACAGCACTTGGGAGGCAGAGGCAGGCGGATCTCTGTGAGTTCGAGACCAGCCTGGTCTACAAGAGCTAGTTCCAGGACAGGCTCCAAAGCCACAGAGAAACCCTGTCTCGAAAAACCAAAACCAAACAAACAAACAAAAAAGAAACCATCTCCAGAAGGGACTAGACTCTCTCAAACTAGTCTTAAGGTCAGGTGTCCTCTGCCCCACAACCAGATCTGGTCTATTCCAACTCCTGCACCCTAGGTCCCTCGTGTGGTTTTATCCCTAGTTCAAAAGGGAATGTCTGCTTTAGACCCTTCCATGTGAGCTTGAGTTTCTTAGACTATTCTTAGATTTTGTTCCTGTATATACAGAATCTGGGTGATGGGGGTGGGATGTATTTGAGATTTACTGTGCAAGTACCTTCATAAACCACACACACAGTAGGCAGTAGTAAATAGAGTTGCTGGGTGTTTTGTTCTGGGATGTTGGGTACCAGCTGTGTACACGGCACTCAGAGGAGTCTTAGCCAGATGCTGGCCCTCAGGAGGCCCACAACAAGGTAATAGGTAGACAGCTGCTGTCACTGGCAGCTGGCACAGCCATGCTAACTATCAGTGTCCTCCCAGGGCTGCTGAGCCTACTTTGTGTCAGTGTCCTGGGACCACCCAAGGATGCCTCCCTGGCTTCTTGTCATCTCTACCCTGGTTCTCCTAGTATGGGGTAAGTTTTCCTTCTCTGGACCAAATGTGTACTCTTCCCTGACATGGAAGAAGAGCTTTATGGTATTTGTAGACCTTGCCCCAAACAATAGTTTTCAGAAAATATCTAAATTCTTTAAATCTTAAGTTTATCCATCTGAAGACTGAGAAAAGGCTGCTTCCCTGTTAAATTGGAGGATTCAGCGAGGTAGTGTGTACAGGACTGACATAGCTCCTTGCGGTGTGAAGGGAGCAATGGTTAGAACTGTCAATAGTGTGCCAACCAGCATTTAAACTCTCCTAGGTTTGTGCCTGTCAACAAAACAAGATTCCTTTGGAGTAACAATGTAAACCAGTGCCCAGGGACATTCTCACAATCCGTCAAGGTGGAGCATGGGCTTGACTGATGTCCCAACACTGAGCAGGAGTAAACCCAATTCCTGAAGGGCAATTCTAACTATTTCTTCTTATTGCACCAGATACACAAAATGTACACAAGAGAGAACATTGTGGTTTGGGGTGCCTGAATACATTTCCTGGCTGTTTTCGCCAACTATATGCTTAGATATGCTCACAATTGTTCACTCTGCCTGACTCCCTACCTGTAACAACACACCTTCAGCCTGGGGGATTCCCTGAAGTCAGTATCAGAGAAAACCATGCCAGCATCTGTTAGAGGTGGTTCCCTGGGCATCCCAGAGGGGCTTGTTGGAGGCCTGGGGACTCAGGGAGGCAGAGAGGAGGTGGAGAGGAGCATCTGTGTCTGGCTAGAGCATCATTATCCCGTCATTATCAAAGGGTTCTGGAACTCTTTGAAGACAGAAGAAAACAGGGACTTTTTTTTGCAGGTGATTCCTCCTGGGAAAAAACACAAACTAAACAGATATCAGACGGGCTGCAGCAACTGCTTGGCAACATCTCCCAGCTCCTGGAGGAAGGGAAAGTACGCCGTGATGGTGAGGAGGCTTAGCCATCTGCCAGGGTTCTCATGTGGATGCATCTCAGGTCTGCACAGCCAGCTGAGACAGGGTGGAGAGCATCAAATGTATCTGACCAGGCAGCTTAAGTGCTTTTTTAGGCTTTTGGGGTATAGAGATGCAATCAAAATGGAGAAAGATCGTATGCAGGGTAGAGACCGAATCCCTGAGTTCACTGGGTCAAAGATGAAGACCCTGCCCAGTGAGAGCCCTGAGATTGAGGAGGGGGTGTGACCCCTTACGGAGAGTGGAAGTCATAGAGGAAATTGCCAGTGCGTGCACAATGAGGCTACGAGGGCTGGATGGGGACAAGTGGCTGGCATGGGCATATTTCCTAATGTGGTGCAGTGATGGTGAGGACTTCAGAGGTCGGGGAGCAAAATACCCAGTTCAGCTGGCTTGGGAATGAGAGTCTGCAAGGTGTGAGTACAGCAGTGAGCAGGAGGTGTGAGCTCCTCCTGATACCCTCCCAGGGCATCTTCACCAGCATGGGCCAGACCAAGTTCAGAGCAGCAGGTGAGCTCAGGAGGCAAATGTCGGATGCACTGATTGACATGCCATCTCCTCACAGACGTCTTCGTCATGGTCTCTCGTAAGAAATGGGGGGCAAGAGCAAGGGGCTGCAGCTCTAAGCTGAGCAGGCCAGCGGATGTCCTTGTTGTGCACCATGTCCCTGGGCTAGAGTGCCACAACCAGACCGCCTGTACTCGGAAACTTCAGGAACTTCAGGCCTATCACATCCACAACAGCTGGTGTGATGTGGCCTACAAGTAAGTGGTGGACCTGGGCCTCCAGACATACCGTCCAGCCTGCTCTTTTCTTTATGGTTCTTTCTGACCTATTTTCCCCATTTTCTTGGCTGTGGTTCTATCAGTTTTGAAATAAATACAGTATTCAAAAATCTTCATGAAATTCCGATAAAATTCTCTGTGAAGTCCATGCCTCTGAGATGCAGGAGGAAATACAAGGCATAACTGCCCCTTTAAATGCCACTGGGAACGCTTCGTTTGCCCGACACTTAGTTTACAGAGTCCTTCCTTACACTTGAGTGTTTCTTATCATCTACTGGTCTGAGCCCGACAGAATAAGAATCACCATTTTCTCAAGACAGGGAGGCCATGTGATTTCCCCTGTGCCATAGACTAGCCCGACCAGCCTCTGTCCATGGAACTCCACTGCACGGCTGGTGTAGGCTCTTATCTGACTGGGGCAACCATCCCACCTAGGACCCCAACAGCTAGTCTAGGAGACTCCTATCTGACTTTGGCCACTTGTCAACAGTTTGGCCATGGTAATGGCAATGGCTTCTGGCCTCCAGCGCCGACAGCATCTCCACTTTCCCACATGGGACTTCTACAAGGCCTCTGTGATTTGGAGGATTGGCCCCTGGGGGACAAGAGTTGGAGGGTAACTTCATCAGCCCAGCCCAGCATCTCCACAGAGCCAGTTTCTCTTGCATTTTCTTCTCCCTTGGTTTTAAAGCTATATACACAGCTCTTCAGAGAGACATGGTGGGTGAGTGGCAGCCAGGGTCCAGTGTTGGGTGTTTACTCTTCAGTTAACTCCAACGTATAGGTTGTTGGATGTCTCTCTTCAGTTTTTTCTCCCTGCTCCATCTCTCTGGCTTCTGGGATCCCCCCTAAACACATTGCCTGCCACTGTGACCGTGTGTCACACGCTGCATTTATGTAGGAAGTTACCCAACAGGGAGAAAGCAAGTGAACAGCCCTCTGTGGGCAGTGTGCCTTCCGCGCGAGATAGGGGAGCCATTGCGAGGATGTGCGGAGTCCATGGAGACTAACATTGCGTTTAGGTCAACTGTAGCTCCTGCAGGTAGCCCAAGGCCCCTCTTCCTTTTCAGTGTTCAGGATGATTTATATACAGATTGGGTGTCTGGGCAAGGAGGTGCATGGAGTGTGGGTGTGGGTCCTTTTCAGTGTTAAAGACGAGGATATGTGACTTGGTCTTTCTATTGTCTCAGAGAAATCCATGCAAACACTCTCTTAGTGAACCTGCCCTGAGCTCTTTTCAGACTGTGAGCCTGGGGGGTAGCTTTGCCTCTCAGGAATGTGAGCTGGTACCAGTCAGAAATTTGTTTCCTTGCCCACAGCTTCCTGGTTGGGGATGACGGCAGAGTGTATGAAGGCGTCGGCTGGAATGTCCAAGGATCACATGACCAAGGCTTCAACAACATCTCCTTAGGCATTGCCTTTTTCGGTGCCCAGGAAGGTAATGGCACCTCAGCTGACTGTCCTTCAAAGGTTCTCTTGAAGCTCTGCTGCCCTCTCAGGCATCTCCACAGAGCCAGTTTCTCTTGCATTTTCTTCTCCCTTGGTTTCCAGGACACACGATGTGATGCCCTTCTTCCTTTTGCTGTGGCTTCCTTCTCTGGCTCTGCTACATTTTTTTCCTCAGACTCCCAGGCTTCTCTGGGCAAGTCATGCCCCCCTCCTTCTTCCCAATTTCTATCTGCAGGTCCTTCTTCTGCTTTTCTTAACAGGCCTTGCCCCTGTTAGTGGCTGTCAGACCTTCCCTCCAGGATGAACAGGTCGGTGGCTCTAGGTCAGGTGTTCCCGCTGTCTTTCTATCTCTCACTCCTAGATTTTTCTGTTTATTGCTCTAAAGAGCCGCCTTGATGCCTCTGGAGTAGGTATTTTTCTTTCTGCTGTGACCAAATGCCAGATAAAACCAGCTTAAGGAAGGGAGAGTTTATTCAGGCTCTCAGTGTGAGGGGATAAGGCATCACTTTGTGAGGGGCACAAAGTGGCTGGTTACATTGCACCACCATTAGGAACTGGAGGATTGGTGCTCACCCCGTTCTCTTGTGTTCAGCCCAGGATTCCATCCATGGAATGGTGCTGTCTGAATTTAGAGTGGGCCATCCCACCTCAGTGAGCCCGCTCAGAAAGCATATCCATAGGTTTGTCTCCTAGATCTGCTCAAGTTGACAGTTAATTTCATTCATTTTTTTATATAATATATTTTGACCATGTTTTCCCCTCTCCAAGTCCTCCCAGATATCCCCACCTCCCTACCCATTCAACTTCATGTTCTCTCTCGCTTAAAAAAGTCTAAGCAAAATAAAATCAAACAAAAATCTCAAAGCAGGGTGGGACCCGTGAACTTTGTTCTGTGTTGGGCTCCTCCCGGGACATCACAGTGTCCGCAAGCTTTTCATTTTCTTCCAAGTCTGTTGATTCCAATTCCCCGCACCCTGTATCCTGACATCCAGTTTTCTGCACCTGGCATCCTGATGTCCAGCTCTCTGCCCTCTGACGTCTACTTCCTGTACCCTGCATCCTGATATATAGTCAAGGCCATAACCATGAGTCTGTGAGGGGACTTTTTCTTTTTTTATTAAATTTTTTTCATTTATTTTGCACACCAACCAGTCTCTCTTCCCTCCTCTTTTCCCATCCCCTCCCCCTACCTCCCATTTAATCTTCCCCCCTTCATCCAGCCCTTCTCCTTTCAGAAAGGGGCAGGCCTCCCATGGGAGTCAACAAAGCTGGCTGAGGTATCCCTTCATGGGGAATCAGTTCCAAAAGGCCAACCTGTGAGCTGATTTCTGTTGTATTTTGGATAGCTAGTTTCTCATTTCGTATTCCATACCCTATGGGATCGTGCAGGTAGATTCTACCCTTCTCGTTACTACCGTATGCAACCTAAGTTTCAGAGAAGCAAAATAACCCAAAGGTTATTTAGCCCCAATGACTCTGGGGAAGGAAGGAACACGAGCCTGCATTTTCCGTTCTAAGAGGAGGGCTGTTTTCACAGAGTACCAGGACCAGAGTGCCTGTTTAATTTTTAGATTTATTTCTTGTTTTGGGATTTGAAGCATGTACTTTTTAGATTCCAAATTCTTCTTCATGAGCAGAGGGGCCCTAGCAATATTTGATTCAGGGTTTGTGCTGGGAAGATGGCAGTGCTAGCTGGTGGGGCTCACTGGGCACCTTGAAGCCCTCCTGTGGATGGGGCTTGTGGGCGTATGTGAAGTCTGCGCACATCACTGGGATCTTGGCACTTCACTCTGAGCCACTCAGAGTCCTGTTATTGCAGGTCCTCGATCCTTGCCCCTCCGACTTGAGGGAGGAACCTGTCCCCATCGCTTCCTCTAGCAGGTGTAGGTTTGGTGGGGATGCTCAACTTCTTCCCGCTGTACCCTGACACTAGGCCAGACAGGGACTCCCTATAAATCTACTCTCTTCCAGGCCACAGTCCCAGCCCTGTTGCTCTCTCAGCTCTGAAGGGCCTGATTTCCCACGCTGTGAAGAAGGGCCACTTGTCACCCAGGTACACCCAGCCACTTCTTGTGAAAAGCGAAAACTGCCTGGCCCCTCCACAGAAGGGGAGACAGAAGAAAGGTGAGGCTCTGTCCCCTTCTGGTCCTTCCAGTCTGACATCTAGGATGCATTTACAAATGCAGCAGCAGGGACCTCTCCCGGCTTCCCTCACATCTTCCTTGTAGCCGTGTGTCACCAGCTTTCTGAATGCTGGTGCTGGCAGACCTCGAGAGGAACCCCCCAGGCTGCCTCTTTCCTATTAGCCGCAGTGACAGTAACAGCCACATCGGTGTGAGTGGTGTTGTGTGAACAGTCTTTCACACCTGTCTCGTCAGCAAAAGCTGGATCTAAGAAACACAGCACAAGAACCTTTGAGTCCTAGAGCTTTTGTGTGGGGGGGGAAAGAGGGGTAGGGGGAGACAATGGACAATAAACAGATAAAATACTCAGGATGAGCGAGGTGGTGGTGGCGCATGCCTTTAATCCCTGCACTTGGGAGGCAGAGGCAGGTGGATCTCTTGAGTTTGAGGCCAGCCTGGTCTATAGAGAAAGTCCCAGGACAGTCAGAGTTATACAGAGGAACCCTGTCTTGAGAAACCAAACAACAACAGCAACAAACCCCCTAACTCAAATTGTTCGAGAAGAAAATAAGCATAGAAAATGAGAGGGTACATTTATGCACAGTTCTTATTCACAAAGACACATTTATAAATATAGAAAGTAATGTAACTTGATGTTGTCACACTCACATTAAAAGGGGAATTTAAAAACAATTCAGACAACAAGTTAGGCACTGTTTTGGGTTACTAAGCAGTGACAACGAGTCTTTAGATTTATTTTATTTTATTGTTTTATTGTGTGAGTGATTTGCATACACACACACCACACATACACACACGCACACGCATGCGTGTACACACACACACACACACACAGAAGAGGTCATCAGATCCCCTGGAACTGGAATCACATGTACTTGTGAACCATCCTGTGAGTACTGGAAATTGAACCTAGTCCTCTGCAAGAGCAACAAGTGCTCTTAACCACTGAGCCAGTTCTCCAGCCCCCAACCCCGCCCTCTCTCTCTCCCTCTCTCTGATCCAGCGAGCTTTACTGAGGTTTATTACAAGAGTATAACAATATTATAAGAATATAATGAGGATGAGAGGTTACTATGACACAGCTTTATCACCAAAAGCCCACTCCAGCCCGGGTGGCCACCCACACCTGGAGCTCACTGCACCACCCGCAGGTAGTTCAACAGTCGGGGTGTTCTCCAGGCGGTTCAGCCAGGCTCGGCTTCTCCCAAACAGCTCTGGTGGTCTCAGATCTCAGAATTCCTTACTTATATATGTGTGGGGACAGGCGAGGCCTAGAGAACCTGATCAGTGTCAGGGACTTCCTGAAGCTTTTGAGAAAACAAAACGAAACAAAACAAAACAGAACAGAACAGAACAGTAAGAACTTTCGGCCTGTTCTTGGGCTTAATGAAGTTTGAAGAAACTTGTTCTTATTGTCATGAGCCCCGAATCAGTTTGATCTCTACCTTGAACTTGCTGCCATTCATTCATATCGAGGATTGCTTAAGGATTTTAAGTGTTTGTCAGACAGACTTCTGGAGTACAGCTTCTGTATTTGTGGCTTGGACCAGTCCCAGAGAACTCTAGAGCAGAGCCCCACAGTCAGGACTGGGAGGGGCTCTGAGGGTGACAGGGAAATCTCAGCACACTGAGGGTCACAGCAGCCTTCAGCAGCCACGCGGTAGGCACAACGTGGTAAAATGAATCCTTTATGACTTGTTGGTTTTGTTGTTTTACCCAACAGCAGGTTGCCCTCACATTGTTCCACGGTCTGCTTGGGGCGCAAGGGAGGCGCACTGCTCCAAGTTGGCTCTCCCTGCAAAGTATGTCATCATCCTTCACTCCGCTGGCAGAACCTGCAGTCAGCCGGATGAGTGCCGCCTGCTGGTCCGAGATCTCCAGTCCTTCTTCCTGGACAGGCTAAACACGTGTGACATTGGGTATAAGTAAGTGATCTCAAGGATAGGGGTCAGGGAACCTGAATCTCTCAACAGAAGAGAAAAGGGAGCTAATTTTGACTGATAATTCACCATATGAAAGACCTATGGGTACTTAAGTTGGCTTTTTACCCAACCCGAGAGTGCTCTTATTCAGGAGACAGATCAGGGGCAGTCACAGCTCCAAGCATGTTCTAAAAATGTGTGCTATTAAAGGCAGTATATGGGTGTTATGGATTCCAAGGCTTCTGACGAGATATTGGAGGAAGGGACAGGGTGAGAGATTGAGCTCTGTAGAAGAGACCACTCCAGGGCCACTGTTTCAACGCAGCTGCTTCTCATTACACTGTGGCTCGGGTGTTGCCCTCTGTTCAGTTTGCTTCTTCTGGTGTTATTGTGACAGCTCTTCACATCTAAGAGTCCGAACACTCAGAGGGAGAGCATCTCCTACATGGAGAGACTGGACAACATCCATTAATTTCAGTGCCAAGGTCCGCAATTCTATAATAGAGAATGTGAAACCAGTGAGAGGACATTTTTTTCTCTCCCTACATTTCTACCCTTTCTTCTCCTTGTGTCTGTTGGTCTGTCTGTCTGTCTTTTTCCTCACACATTTCTTTTTTTCCTTCTATCCCATCCCCTTCCTTCCTCCTTCCCTCCTTTCCTTCTCATTTAGTGTAATCTAAAGGAATATCAAGATTCTATGACTGAGTTTTGTTGGTCAAGAACACTTATGTTTAAAGACAGCCACTTAAGACTGGGGTACATGGAAAACAAAATGGCCACGAAGCAGGCAAAACACCAGAGGATGTTTCCAGAGCTTGAAGATAAGACGCTGGAATATCTCACTTATTTCTCATCACAAACAATCAAACTAAATTAGAAGCCTAAGGATAAGCCAGCACTAGCTCATGTGGTATGTTTGTATGTGCCAGTGAAAAGAGTCGCCATGTTAGGGAATTCGTGGATTAACCTCTGGGGCTGTATTTTTGTCTTGACTGCTCCTGCCAGGCACCAGTGTGCAATGTGCTTTGGCTGGATTTGTCACATGGCATATTCTTCTAAGGTGACTGGTCCTCTCCTCTGTCTCCATGTTAGTGAAGTGCTTTAAAAATGGGAGAAAATATTGTCGCTAGCTAGCTATTAGGAACTACCAAATGATTGCAGGTCCTTCCACTCAGGATAATCCGATGTTGTTCTCCTTAACTGCCGTGGAGATGTGAACATCAAATATGAACTTGGAAATCTCATACTGAGGATGGAAGTTTCTCTTTCCTACTCAGGCTCCAGAAGGCAGCTACCTTATCTTAGGCTTTTGATTTGTATTGTGCATCCTATCAGCATCCTGGAGAGGGACTGAACTCAGGACCAAACACTCATTTCCCCCTCCCAGCTATAGGCTGTGCTCTGGGGATGCTTCCTGCAGGAGCACAGGTGACTCTTACCCTCCTAGAGCTAAGACTTCAGTGAAGGGGGGGGGGAGAACTTACAAAGTAGGTTTTAGCAAGGTGAGTCAAGTGCGACTATGAAGGTCACGTGAAGGACGAGCAGGCTGCAGGGAGAGCAGTGAGGGATTCATTCCTTGGAGGAGTAACTTGTTAGCTGGAGTCCAAGAAGGGAGTGGGACAAACTAGAGGAGGAAGCAGCAAGAGTGTTTCAAACACAGGGAAAAGCCTGGGTTCCAGCAGAAGAACAGTGTCTCGGAGGAGGGAGCTGAGAAATTGCTTATGATCACATAAATGCCAATACTGGATGTGGTGAGAGGTGAGGCTGGGAGGCAGAAGAGCATGTCCTGAAGAATGGTGCGTCTTCAGCTGGGGAGTTTGGGTTCTGCGCAAAGAACTAAGAGCAGAATTCTGCACAATAAGCTTTGTATTTAGGAAGATGCCTTGACTGACGCCTTGGGTGTGGGTGAACCGAAGGCAGTGAGATTTGAAGATGTGACAATTCAGGCAAGACAAGATGCTGACAGAGGAAGAGGGTGCAGATGTCTCAGGAGAAGTGGAGGCATTTAAAGTTCATAAAAGTGAGCGACTCATGACTAAGGTGCAGGACTATGTTGGGGAAGTGGCCTTGTCTGTCCGGTGGATGGAATGGAGCCAGTGGGTGGTACAAGGCTAACCCAGAGAAGAACAGGTAGGAGGTGGCTCCAATGTGAGTTGTGTGCTTTCATGGATGATGAAGAAGCCAAGGAAATGAATAGGTCAGTTTTGAGAGTGTGTAGGGTGAGGCACAGAGACCAATCTGTCAGATAAGAGGGGGAGTGGACCATCACAGTGGAAGTCCCAAGAAGAGGATGTCTGGAGAAGGAAGAGAAAGGTTGACAGGTTCAGCTTCATGGAAACCAATGATTAGACATTTGGGAAATCGGGGTGAGTTGTTGAATAGTCTATTTTATCAAGGCAGCTACTGTGACAATTTGCTCCCCAGAAATCTGCAACGGTTTTAAGTCTGGGTCCCTCTCGAGTCCCACTCCTCCAGATGGTGTCAGCAGCAGGGCCCTCACAAGGAAGATGGCTCACACCAGGTGCTGGAACCTGGGGAGTAGTTGAGTAAATGAATGAATGAACCCATGGAGGAAGGCAAAAGTCAAATCAAGCATGCTCCCTCTTTCATGCTAATCTCCATATCTCTTGTGGTTCTCCAGCTTCCTCGTGGGCCAGGATGGTGGTGTTTATGAAGGAGTGGGCTGGAATAGTCAAGGCTCCCGCACGGAGGGCTACAATGACATTGCTTTGAGCATCACCTTCATGGGCATCTTCACAGGTAAGTGGAGGCTTTGGTAGAGATCCTTGTGTGATGTTTGAGGAGAGAAAGACTTCAGACTTGGGCATCATCTAAAGCATCATATGGTGAAGTTTTGTATTTATATGATTGTGGCTGGATGTGACCCTCAGATCCTAGAGAGAATAGGTACTCAAAAAACACTTTTCATACCCACAGATAAACCTCTCTCCCTCCCTGCCTCCCTGCTTGCCTCTCTGCCTGTGTCCCTCCTTCCCTCCCTTTTCCTGCTCCTGCCTCCCTTCCTCATCACCCCTTCCTTTGGTATGAATGGGTGAAGCCAGGGGAAATGCCTGTGTGAGTGATTTTAGTTCCTCTTTATAACCTATCCTATTTGGTTCTCCATGGTACCAACTTTAGACGGCTCAGCCTTATACCCAAGGCAGGGATCCGCCTGGGCTGCCCTGAAAATGTTCGTTTCTTTACTCAGTGCTTCTGCCTAGAGCTAGGGAACTGAACTGTTGAATCTCTGGGATGGTGAGTTACTGCTACTGCTACTCATTCGGGCTGGTTTGAAAATGAGCATTAGCTGGGGGTAAGGGCAAGTGAGGAGAAGGTGAGCACCGAATCTGTGGGGAAGGCCTGTAAACCTCGCTGCTCCTGATGTTCTGGATGAGGTCATTCACTGTCACAGATCCAAAGGTGGTTGGCACTTTTATTGCTTTCTCCCAACTCCACAGTAAGAGTGTCATTACTTCCTTCACTTTTGTCAACCAAGAATTGGCATTGCCAAATGTTCCTTAGGGGACAAACATGTTCCTACTAGAGAACTAGCAGTATACATTTCTGCAGTAGGAGAAGCTTCAGGGTTCTTCAGATCTGTATTTGTAATTCCAGGACCAGCAATTCAGAGTCAGGAAAGCTTTGGAGTTGAGACCCATGAAATGTTGATCTGGCATTCTGTCTGTCTGTAAGACTGGCTGCCAACAGTCAAATATGCTACTTTAGTGGTAGGCTGGGCAGGTTTGAAATCATGTTCTGTTCTGGTCTGGGCACCCTAGGATCCTACAATGGTCTGGCTGTGTTTTGCAGGTTCCTCACCCAATGAAGCTGCTCTGGAAGCAGCCCAGGATCTGATCCAGTGCGCTGTGGACAAGGGGTACCTGACCACCAACTACTTGCTAATGGGCCACAGTGATGTGTCCAATACCCTGTCCCCTGGACAGGCATTATACAACATCATCAAGACGTGGCCTCACTTCAAGCACTGAAGGAGGGTCCTAGCCCATTCTGAGGATGCTGTTCCTCCTGCTGGGTATTCATCCTCACCTTCCATGTTAGATTAGCATCATTGTTCTCTCATTTCAAAGCTTTACCTTGTTCATTTCCTGGGTTAAGATGACCATATCTTTTCTTGGTGACATCCACCACTGCCCCCCAAGTTTTGTACACATAGTCCTGTACTGTCTTCTCAGCCAAGTGAGGTTCCCTAGTTATCTGCCCTTCTGCTTGGTACTTGGGCATCTGTGGTTTGTCTGGCAGCTTCCATTGCTCGTGCACAGCCCAGACAGGGTGCCCTTCCCTCCTCTGCTCACACAGCCATGTGTGTATGTGTGAGTACTCCTTTTATTTAAGGGTTTAGGTTGCTTGCAGGTATATCTATTCTCTTCTGGTTTGTGAAGTTCTTCCAGGGCAGCAGATGAGTTTTCTCACTGCCAGGTAGCCAATGCCAGCTCTGTGATCTGTGTTTAAATACTAGTAGATATTATAGACTTTTGTTGGAGAAATGGACAAACAAGTTAAAGACCCCAGTCCTTCTCCAAGAGTGTGCCATCATCCCTCTGTGGAATCCCTGAGGAAAGCACCCCCTCCTCCCATTGTTCTCTGCCCTGGCACTTCTTGGTTGGAGACTCGGAACTGGCTGTGGTGACGTGTCCATAGCAGATGCTGCGTCTCCAGGGTTCCGTGCCACTGTATCCACTGAGTACTCTGTGTGCCAGAACCACAAGCTTCTCCAAGGCCAAGGCAGACCTGTGCCAACACTTGCTACCCTGTGCTGTGGTCTGCCTGTGTCTGGACTGACCCTGGGGTTCTGCAACTCACCATACCCTCGTTCTTTGTTGTGTTTATTGGAAACTCGAGGCATTGTTTTTCTCTGGGTTATTCTGCAAAACGGAAGGGAGAGTAAGAGGGAAACGGGAATATATATAAAGGAATATAATGTAGAGAGTGTCTTGTTAGTTTGATTAAATAATGTTTGGTCTTGTTTTATATGCTTTTGTTGCTCTTATTTTTAATAAAAATAAATACAAAAGCTCTCACTCTTTTTTCCCCCTCTCATTTTTGCTGGGGACTGAACCTGGAGCCTCACACAAGCTACACACTGAACCACTTTCCTCGTCTTGAAGCTCATACATTAACACAGGAGTTTTGTGCTTTTTCCAAACAATCAGTGACCTTGGTTTCCTTGTCTGCATTTGCTATCAGCCTATTTGTGTAGAGTGCGGGGGGGGGGTCTCCCTATTCTTCAAGGGCAGGGCAGCCATTTGTGTAGAGTGCGGGAGGCGGTCTCCCCATTCTTCAAGGGCAGGGCAGCCATTTGTGTAGAGTGCGGGAGGGGGTGTCTCCCCATTCTTCAAGGGCAGGGCAGCAATTTGTGTAGAGTGCAGGGTTTCTCCCCATTCTCCAGGGCCAGGGCCAGGGTAGCCATTTGTGTAGAGTGCAGGGGTATCCCCATTCTTCAGGGGCAGGGCAGCATGGTCAGATTTGGGGTTTCCTCTTGTCTCCTTCAGCAGGAGGACCTGGCTCCAGGCCAGAGCCTCCCAGATACTCTTTCTCCAACGTCCTGCCAGTTATGAACCCTCCACTGTAGAGACTGAGGGCAGGGTCACGTGTTCTATTTCTCCTCTGCTCTGCTGAAGGAGGTAAGTACACAAAGAGAGACACGGGACTTCTGGAAAAATGAGATGGATCTCTCCAGATCTCCAGAGCTGAGGCAAAGTGCTGTTATTCTTGGGGAAGCAGGAGGTAAGAGGCCCTTTGTTTCCTACCTTTTTGGGTGTGGGACCAGTCTTTCTCCCTCCCTTCACTGTCTCCATCTCTTTAAGTTCTTCCCCAATCCACATGAAACATAATTATAGGACTGAGTTGCTGACATTTTAAAGGAGTAAGTCACAAAACAATCCCAAAACAGTTTGGAATTATGATTAATAAAAGGGTTATTTATTTAAAGGGAAAAACTTACAGATCACTGTCCTAGACAACAGCCCCCTGCATGACCAGGAAAAGCGTCTGGTATCCAGAAGCGGAGTCTGAAGCAAGAGAGGTAGAATGTGGCTACTGCTGCTTTTTCCAGCCAGAGAGACCACACCCAAGTGGACTGGTATCTTAAAGACTATTGGCTGAAGGAGAGGAAGGAGCTCCCACAGCAACATTTTCTATGAGTTCATTTATTCCTTCATATACCATCTAATTAAAAATAAGTTATTGATTGTTAGATGATTGTAGTTTTGGAGTCATTTTCCAGCTCTATAGATTCATTCTCTCCTCTACATCCTGCGGTAGAGAAGGAGCTCTCTGTGTCTCAGCTCTTCCCTGAACATCTGTTCTAGGGACGGCAGCATTATGCATCTCCTAGGTTGTGGAGTTGACCCTGACGCCTCATGTGAAGTGTTTCAGCCAGGGCCCAGCTGGTGAGCCCTCGCTGTTGCTATGTTGTTATCGTGGTCTTTCCCACTCCTGTCTGACTCTGCTTCTTGGACAGCAGCTTCGACTTCCCTGTAAGAGTTTACTGTTGTCTGTGTTGGTGACTCAGCTGCAGCCATATGAGACATAGAGGAAGAGAGCAAGGCCTGGTCACACAAGAGAGCAGGTGTGAAGACACCCACGATGACAGGTGCAGTGAAGGCTGAGTCTCCCTCTTCATGGACATTAGTGCTGGCAGATTAATAAGTATTTATATATCCTCATTGTGTAGTCTTGAACCTGCTGTAGGTGCTGCAGGCAGCATTCACTGGAGTCACATGCGGTGACAAGTTCAGAACAACTCTGCACACTCTGACTCAAGAGCCCAGCCCACAGAGACCTCTCAGTGCAACACCTGTGAGCCCTGCCAGAACTGTCTCCATGAAGTTCATCACACACTTGATGCCGAATGAACTGGAACAAGATGCCTCTGAAGGGCAGAGCCATGTAGACTCTAAGGAGAAGAAGGCTGTGCTTAGAGCTGACTGATGGTGCGCAACCTCCAAAGCCAACAGGTGCTGCAGCATGGGGAATCTGCCTTCCCAATGATGAACTTAAATTTTCTGTGCCTTTGTTCATTCGTTAATAAATGGTGATTATATGCCCCCAAATGTTGTTATAAAAAGTGAAAAGCATGTGAAAAAAGTATTTATATATCCTGTAGTTATCAATTTCCAATAAAAACATGGACTTAGGTTTAACATGACAGGTTTGTTTTTAATTCATTCTAAAAAAGGGCAAGCCAAAGCCGTCGAGGTGGCCTGTGAGTCAGGCACTGTAGATTACACTGGACTCCTACAGTAAGCTTCTGAACCTGTCGCTTCTTTGGCAAGATACCCTCTTTTATGACACGATGCAGAAAATTGCCCCAGAGCGGCAGCAGAATCTTCTGCTGGTCCCCGTTTCCTCTCCTCATTTATCCACCAGATGGTTGAGCATCTCTGCTCTCCAGTCACCCTGTGTGCTTCTTGACCTTCACAGACTTTCTTCCACCACCCCTGAGTGATGCCCTTATTTCTTCCTTTCCAAAGTGCAGAGCTTCAAGCAGTATGTTTATATCTTGCTTTGATGGGGGTAGTTATACATCTGAAGGGACAGCCTGCTGGCTACAGAATATGGCCAGTATATTCCCTATGGACGTCATTACTAGAGATATTCTGCTACCACTTGTGAGCAGTGGTTTCCACAGATTCCTACCATCGTGGGCAGTGCCATCGTGGGCAGTGCCATCATCATGAGCAGTGCCATCATCATGGGCAGTGCCAACATCATGGGCAGTGCCATCATCATGGGCAGTGCCATTGTGGGCAGTGCCATCATCATGGGCAGTGCCATCATCATGGGCAGTGCCATCGTGGGCAGTGCCATCATTTGCGCTCCTCTCAATGGGTATCTGGCACAATGCTGCAGTGTCCCTACTGGTACTCTCCCACAATGACCTGATTCTTCACCATGATGCTCCATTCAGCACTGTTTTCTGTAGAGAATGCACGTTTGATAGGAAGGAAGTATGGAGAAGTCTGGCAGCAGCATGGAAACCGAAACTCCATTTCCCTCCCGACACAAAGACATAATGCACATGTGGTATGAGACTGAGGGGACAGTGACATGGAGAAAGACAGACAGAGATAGAGAGGCTCAGTGGTAAAATCCGTAATTGTGTTAGATGATGTCACAGTCAGAGCTGAACCCTGAAGAATACAATACAAAGTAAAAGGAACACTCAATGAAGGTACAGGCACTTATGAGGAACATAATAGAACTGAGAAGATAACAATGAATAAGGGAATCTGTGGTTCAGAAATGACCATTAATAAGGAAATTGTTTTTATTATTTATTTATTTGGAGATTATAATTTCCTTACAATATTTCTCCTTTTTGTTTCCTCTCTCCAAATATTGTGAGGAGCTGTGGGCAGGCCTGCTTTTCGTCCCTCCCGGCTCCGCATGGTTAGCTTTACATCCAAAATAACAACACACAAATTGTATTCTTTTAAATACTGCTTGGCCCATTAGTTCTAGCCTCTTAGTGGCTAATTCTTACATCTTGCCTAACCCATATTTAGTAATCTGTGTAGCACCAGTCTTACCAGGAAAGATTCAGCATGTCTGACCTGGCGGCTTGCTTCATTGCGTCTGCCCTGGAGAGGAGAGGCATCTGCCTCACTTCCTCTTCCTCCCAGCATTCTGTTCTGTTTCCTCCACGCACCTATGTTCTAACCTATCAGGCCAAGCAGTTTCTTTATTAATTAACCAATGAAAACAACAGATTGATATATGACACTCCCACATCATCCAAATTCTCCCATATACCTCTCCCTGCTCTTTCTCAAATTCATGGTGTCTTCTTTTCTTTCTAAGCTAATTGTTATTGCATGATCATACATACATACATAATACATACATACATATTCCTAAACATAAACCACTCAGTCTATAAATGTCACCTGTATGCATGTTTTCAGGGCTGACTGTTTGGCATGGGACAACCAATTGTTTGTGTTCTTCTCTAGGAAAGTCACCTCTCCCCCTTCAAACTTTATTCAGTTATTATAGTTTCTGATTTTTTTTTGATATTTGGGACAGAACCCAAGACAAATGGACTACATTATTTACCAATTTAATTTATTGTAACTTAATTTTATGACAGGATTGCACTGTGCTATCCAGGTTGCCCTAGAACTCATGATCTTCTCTCATCCCTTTATGCTGCTGAAGTTGCAGGCTTCTACCATAGCTAGCTAAAAATGAAGTTAAAATGGAGAATATCATAGGTGAAAATGTAAATAAAATTAGGAAAATCCAAATATTAAAACAAGAGTAAAATTACATTAAAGTATCAGACATAAGGATATTGCCATGTATTTTAAAAGGTAAAAGGTGGATCTGCCATTGTCACCAGTGATTCCTGACCCCCCTGATACTTCTCTTTCCAAGAACTTTAATCCAAAATTCCCTACACTTGTGGAAGCTGGACCTCACTAAGTGTTCCCCTGACAAGGACGTCAGGATGTGAGTGTGCAGGTCCTGGGAGAGAGGTGCCTTGAAGTATGCTGGAGCCCGTCAGTGAGCAGAACACTCAGTGAGTGCATCATCAGTGAGCACACACACACACTGAGCACACACACACAGTGAGCAGCACACGCAGTGAGCACACACACACAGTGAGCACACACACAGTGAGCACACACACAGTGAGCACCACACGCAGTGAGCCCATCAGTGAGCAACACACACAGTGAGTGCATCATCAGTGAGCACACACACAGTGAGCACACACTCAGTGAGCACCACATGCAGTGAGCCCATCAGTGAGCAACACACGCAGTGAGTGCATGATCAGTGAGCAGCACACACATATACAGTGAGCACACACACAGTGAACACACACACAGTGAACACACACACAGTGAGCACACACATAGTGAGCACATACACAGTGAGCAGCACACACAGTGAGCACACACACAGTGAGCACATACACAGTGAGCACACACAGTGAGCAGCACACACAGTGAGCACACACAGTGAGCACACACACAGTGAGCACACACAGTGAGCACACACACAGTGAGCACACACATAGTGAGCACACACAGTGTCCTAGCCGGGGACAGGGTCCTTGAGGATGCTTGGTCTGGTCATCCACCTCAAGGGGCTGCACTTCGGGTACCTTTGGAAAGCACATGTGTGAACACCCCCACCCCCAGAGAAGTGCAGAGAGGCAGGGACAGGACTTGTGCTGGTTTTTCTTGCTCTCATCTTGACTACATCAGAAATTAACTAAAGTCCCAAACTGGAGGCAACACCAGCTAAAGCTTTGTTGAAGTGGGAAGATCCACTTCTAATCCAGATCTCTGAAGTATGAAGACAGATCTTTAATCTGGATCTTGGACTGGGAAAATATACCTTTAACCAGGGCTGCACATTCTGCTGGAAGTTTATATGAGGACATGGAAGAAGGAAGTTTTTACTCTTAGCCTGCTTGGTCTCACTGTGCAGCAAGTCCAGTCCTTTTACCAGCATTAGAGACAACTTCTTTGGGATTCCAGTGTCTACTGATGTCCAGCGGAGACATCCATCCTGGTGGACTGAACAACTAGTGGATTCAGAGATTTTTTGTTCATGGGCAGCAACTGTTGGACTAACTAGGCTGCAACCTATAAGTTTTTACAATAAATTCCCCCTCTCTCCACACACACACACACACACACAGAGAGAGAGAGAGAGAGAGAGAAAGAGAGAGAGAGATAGAGAGAGATAATTAAGGAATGATTTTATATAGAATTATATAATCATTCTTTAAGCTCTGTTATGGGTAATGAACACAATGGCTGGAGGTTCTGAAGCTCTAATGAGAACATATACTGAACTGTTTCCTGGGATTATAATCTTTTCTTTCTTTCCTACAATTCAGCTGTGTAATAAGAAAGTGGGGACAGCAGTTGAGAGTGACCTGGCTCCACAGCCCTCAGACAAGTGGAACAGAACCATCTCCATAGATGTGACATTCTTGATGTCAGGGACACAATCCAGTGACCCCTCCAGAGTGATGTATGTTCTCCTATCTCCCTGTTTTAAGATAACCAAAACCCAGAGTTCCCCAGGGGTGATTAGAGGGTACAATTATGAGCTCCGTAAAGGAAGCACAGGAGGCTATGTAACAACTCCAGCCTCCTTGGGGAGCCTTCCGGATTCACAGGCCACCAAGGTCTTCACAGATATTGCCCTAGTCATGACTATTGTAGGCCATGATGCAGTTATAGCTTATGACAATTGATTCAGTGTCAACCCACCAGAAGAAATGTTCCCTGATGGGTATCCTGCGAGCAAGTCTTGAGGATCACGGACTTTGAAGACTGTTGTTTTCATCTGTAATTTCACATGTGCAAAAACAGCTATGATAGCTCCCTATTAACATGCATTTTCATGTAATGTTTGTATGTAATCTCATGATTACCTCTCAGTCTTATGGGTACATATATCTGTGGGTGGTCAGGAAGATGACTTTTCATTTATGATGTAATTTTGATATATAGAATATATACTGGGGCACGCTTCATGACTGAATCTATTTGTCCTGCAAGGACTGTGGATACTTAAGAGCCTGCCTTGTTCTTTCGCTCAGACTAACTGCACACAATTAGCTCACTTTCACCTCAAAGAAAGTTCAAACTAGACTGAGGACATTTTGTAAATCTATAAAAGGTTTAAAACCTTACAGCTGTACACAAGACCAGAGTCATAGATGTCCAACCAAGGTTACTACACAAGGCACCCTTAGAAAAGCATGCCAGTTCTTCACCTGCCAGGCTGCTAACCATAGACCTATGTCTCAAAGTCTGTCACTGGGCACTGTGCTCTTCCTATCTGGTTACAGTTTTACTCTGGAAGCCTTCAAATCCTTTGCTGTCACGGCAATGACTCAACTCCTTATCACTTACCCTAGGAATGTGCTTTTGACCAATGAGAGGTAACTCTTATAATTTCTTTATCTCAAGGCTCCTGGTAGAAAGAGTGTTTTTAGGCTAGAGAAAAGAAGCTAGAAGAAGAATCTAGGAGGAATTGGGAGAACAGGAGAATTGGGGCAGAAGCAGAACAATAAAGAGACTGAATCAGAAAAGCACAGAGTGAGAGATT